GGGAGGGAGGGAGGGAGGGAGAGAGAGAGAGAGAGAGAGAGAAGGAGGGAGGGAGAGAGAGAATGGATGCATAAATGCTAGGATACCATTCCTAGAGATGGTGCTATCCACAGTGAACATCAAGAAACATAAGGCAAGCCACTAGAGTCATGACCACAGATCAACTCAATGTAGACAATGCCTGGTTGAGATTCTCTTCCCAGGTGGTTCTAAGCTCTGTTAAGCTATCTGTAAAAGTGAGTTAAGATTTAAGAAGGGGGGAGGAATATGGCAAAGCTTAGTTAGAAATGTTGGAGTTAAGCTACCTACAGAATATTTAAACAGAAACATCGAATATCTTGTATGGAGAAGTGGGCTTCAGGCAGGAATCTGACATTGGGCTAGAACAAAGAAGTAATTTCAAGCAGGAATCTAAAATTTAGGCTAGAACAAGGAAGTAGGCTTCAGACATGAAAATGACTTTGGGCTAGGATAGGGAAGTTGGCTCAGATATTTTGGTCATCCAGGTAAGCCCTTAAAAACAGTAATCATGTGAGTGTTTACAGAATTTTGTTTATTGCCTTGCTTGTACTTTGACTATTTGTATTTATTGTCTTACTTGTTCCTTGACTATTTGCATCTATTGTATTGCTAGCCCCTCAACCTAGAACTGACATTAATACTTGCATGTAATTAAAATGGTATAAAAGCAAAAAGGAGAAGGGGGGAATCGGATAGCGGGTTTCTAGGGAGGGGAAATGAAGGTAGGGGATGGCATCTGAAATGTAAATAAATAAAATATCCGAAGGGGGGAAAAAAGAGTGAAAATCTACTCATTTTCTTCTCTAGCTTTCTCTATATACCCATTTAAGCAAAGAGAGTTCATGGCTGAGGGAAGCTGCTTATAAGTTTTAAAAATATATCTGTGTTTTCTACCTTCCTGATTTTCTGTTTCTAGCTCTGAGAAATTTCTGAAATAAATTATTCAGAAAAAAATATATATTGAATTCTGGTTTATATTTCAAATTTGGAAATAATATTCACATTTAACAGACATTAAATAAATTATCAGTGAATAAATGGTTGGAAATATAGCATATAGATTCTAAAAACAGTAAATTTAGCTTTTATAGTGGTTTAGAAAGTATTTTGTCATTTAAAACTAGCTATTGACATTTTTTAAAAATCTATTTGTGCTAGGAATAGAATTTTCTAAAAATGTTCATATACAGAAAACTCCCAAAAGGACACCAGAGTAGGTAGATATATAATTGATTTGCTTAGAAATGGAATTAAAATGATATTTTTGATTTTGTTTAAGATGTTTGTGAAATATATGCATTGAGCAACTAAGGTCAATATGGTTTTGTTCTTTTTTCTTTTTTTCCAAAAGGCATAGTAGTCTTTATCTTAGACAAACAAACATCATCTTGCTGAGCTAGGTCATGGGGTTCAGCAACTGTGTATGGCTCACTGGACTTGGTCAAGAAGGATCATGTCTCACAGCTCAGCCTCAGTTGCCCAGCAGTCTCACCTCTGAGCATGGCCTAGTTTCTCCATTAGAACATAACTCTGTGCACCTTGAGCACATGTAAGTCTCTGCTGGGATGCTGTGGGCCTGGACTTTCAGCTCAGCTCTGCTTTCATCCCAATTGCTTTCTGTTCTCAGGGGACTGAACGAGAGATTGATCTGTTTTCACCTTTTCTCTATTCTCGTCTTGCCTTAGGAACACAGTAAGAATTAATGATCGGATATCCAAAACAGTGCAGACTCCATTTTATCTAATGTTTTGTCATCTCCTCCATCAAAGACCTTCTCGTTAAATATTTGCAAATGGTCATGTGGATGAAGTACCAACAGGTTCCAGAGAAAAGGTGTGCTGTAGATAGTAGGATCCTGTTGTCACATTTCCTGTCTACTTAATTATATGCCCTGTGTGATTCACAGGGGATATGCAGGTCTTTGCTCACAGGAAAAACTTGTATAATGACACTAGCAGCAACAGCTGAGCCAGAATGTAGAATTCTTGGGTCAGATGTCATCTGAAAATAGGTTGTGAGAAAGATCACTGTTCTGGCAGGATCCTTTGTTTTTTTCCATAAAAAGAAAGATGGCTAAGAATGAGCCAGGGAAAAAAGACCGTCGGAGGCAGTGGATAGCAAGGACAGATTTTTATGCTTTTGAAATAAGCTGGGCTTCATAGCAAAGCAATCAATGCCAATGGAATAATGGAACTTAGACCCTCAGAGGTAAAGGAACTCATTCCATCTTGAGAGGAAAAAACAAAACTGAGCAAAAATGGATTCTAAATGTCCTTGGCCTGTGTTTATGACAAATAGAGAAGAAAACTGATTGGCTGGGTGGGTTTTACTGGAAGAGATCAAAATGGCTGGATATGTAACCCCCTTTCTTCTCCATAGGAGCCAATAAGAAAAGTGCCATGGATTATGTAGGGAGAAGTAAAGAGAGGAATCCTACAATACAGCCAGGAAAAGCATTGCTGCCAACAGGTTTCTTGTTCCAACTGCTCTCTTTCCCAAGATGAAGGTGATTTACTGCGTCTTCAAGAATGTGGCAGTCCCTTGGAAGGCGATGAGATAATACTCAGAAAATCTGAGCACCTTTCCTTCTTCTAAATTGATTACCAAGCCCTCGTGGTCTAGCTGCCTCATAGTATGGATTTATTATTGGCAAAGAGGTGGTATGCCCTTAGTGTTTGTTTAAGTGTTCATTGTACAATCCCTTGAGATTTACAGAAGAATCACGAAAACAGTACTCTTCCCAAACAACCTTCAGTTACTTTCTAATATTAGCTTCATATTTCATCATGATGCATTTTTCAAAACATGGTAATTAACAGTGGTCCAGACTTGATTCAGATTTTACTATTTTCAGCATTTACAGTAGTGATCACTTTTTATTATCCTGAGGCCAGCTGAAATGCTACACCATAATAAGATGTCTGGTTTCCTCATGATCTTCCAGATTTAGTGATACATATATTACCTTTTCCATGATGGTCTCAGCTGTGATGCTTTTCAAAAATACTGGTCGTGTATTTTCCAATGTTTTATAGCAGGTCTCTCAATTTGGGTATGTAAGATGTTTTCCTTTTATTGAACTAGAATATGGATTTTAGAGTAGAATGTTACTGGCTGAAATGCTTTTCATGCCTCCTCATATCAGATGGAACACAAGAGCAGCATCGCTTAAGTGTGGTGGCATTGACCTTCCTCCAGTTAAGGCAGCAAGCCCCAGGTAACACCACTGTAGTCCTATTGCTCTTCCCTTTGATGCTTTTTGTCCTAAGTCAAGCACATCTAAAGGAGAAGGAATTATAACCCATCCTCTGAGACAGTGGTACAAACTGCTGTTTTTAAGTCAAGATAGTAACTGTGTGTTTGTGCCTGGTTGTGTGCATAAGTGTAGCTCAAATGATTGTATTGCTTTTTTCTACAATATATTTAATTCTTTATGAATGCCAAAGAATAAAGCTGAAAATATTAATGTTACAAAAAGTCCAGATTTCAACAATTACTACATACTATTATGGTGGCTATTCCTGGTTGACAACTTGACTACATCTGAAAGGAACTACAATCCAGAAATGGAGGGCACATCTGTGATCCAGATCTTGAGGCTGGAAGACACAGGCTTCTGACCTGAATTTAGACATGGAGATCTTGAGGCACAGTGGCCATGAAAAGCTTAGGCCTAGGCATGACAGTACATGCCTTTAGTCCCACAAGACTAAGGCAAGCAGATATCTGAGTTCAAGGTCAACCTGGGGCAAAGCATGTTCCAGATCTAGGCATGGTGGCACATACTGCTAGTCTGGGCCACACCTTCTGTTGGAGGCCTACTTCTACAGAGGACTAGCTCAAACAACTAGCTTCGTGGGACTGAGCAACTACTAGGTTCTTGGACTTTCCATCCACAGATGCCCATTGTTGGGTTAGTTGGACTACAAAGTCATTACAATAAATTCCCTTAATATATAGAGATATTCCATAAGTTGTGTGACTCTAGAGAACTCTGACTAATATATACATAGTTGTGTATATGTGCTTATATATGTGTAAATGTGTATATATATATTAATGTGTATAAGCTTGTGCATATTTGCATGCATACGTGTACATATATGTGTACATGCACACATGTATATGTATATGTAGACATGTGGATGTGCCAATGTGTATATGTGAATGGCTGGTAGTATTGTATGCATATATGTGTATATGCATATGTATATGCAAAATTAAAATTTGGATACTGATTCTTGAACTTGGTGAATATACTTCACTGCCAATCTGTATTTGGGAAATCTACAGAGCATAGCCTGAATTGGGCAATAAGTGTTGCCATAACAGTACTTCAGATAAGCATCAGTACCAGTCATTTACAATTACGTGGGTTTCTAATTTAGAGTCAGAAAACAAGCAAATTATACCTGTGATCAAGGTTCTATACATGGAGCCAGGTTTAAAGTCAACAGCATTCCAGAATCTTCTAGATCACAGACAGAAAACATCCACTCTTACTTCACAGGTACCGAGGTAGAAACCAAATCTACACTCCTTCCATGGTGAAAAACAAGACATTTAAACATTCTAGAAGGCCAGCTTAAATTTCATTCAAAAATCAGTTGCTGTTCCTTGTCAAGAAGAAGAAGAAAAAGAAAATGAAGAGGAGGAATGGGGAAGGAGGAGGGGGAGGGAGAAGGGAATGGGAAGAGGAGAAAACATCAGGAGCAAAGAAGAATCCCCCATGGAAACGGGCATAAAGACACCTCGTTGGTGGTATTATCCTTATATCAGGCAGGAGCAAAGCAGATGACAGTCCTTTGTTCTTCCTAGCTTGATGCCTGGCTTATTGGCCAAAGCTACTTTATGCCTAGGACACATAAAATGGAATCAAATCAAATCAAATCAAATCAAATCAAATCAAATCAAATCCAGGCAGTACAGAGTAGGAAGAGGAAGACAGAGACCTGTAGATGGTCATGTTACTCACACTCACAGACCTGCCTTCTTGCACATGGCATAAGTGGGATTTAGACACCATTAGACTTCATGCAGCATAGATGAAAGATGTTACCCAGTAGCCTGCAAGCCACATGGCCAGCCATCATGGTAAGCAAGTATGTGGTAGACTGATGGGAGAGAAAGAGAAGTGGAGCAGCTTGAACATTATGAAGAAAGATTAAACAGGAAACCTGCGAGTGAAGAGGAGTAACTGGTTATAAGGAATCATCTCCACCACCTGGAATCACAGTGAGGTCTCAGCGTGAGCTACTGCTAAGGGCTGTACCTAGATCTATGGTTACATAGCAGCAGGAGTCCGTGTTGATGTCCCTGGCTTATATTACCACTAGCCAGAGCAGTGCTGGAAAGCTTGCCCCAGTGGTGTGGAAAAGGGAAAACCTGAGGGTAACTGGCTCAGCTACCACCCTGGCTCAGATCCCGGGCTTTGAGTTGACCCACCTCAAAATCTATATTGTCTGCAAATGGTTGGGACACGTGAAAGGTCCAGTCCTACTGATCCAAAGCTGCAGGATCTCCATGACACAGAGCAACAACAGGATATCCAAGAGGAGTCCTGGTAAGGATTCAATATTGATGGTGTCTCAGAAGTAAGAACTCTCAAACCAGACCAATGATTCGTTGCACTGAACGTTAGCAAGTGAAGATGTATGGACAGAGGGATATGCTGTGAGACACACTGTGACATACACAACTTCCACAATGAGAGGTTTTTCACTTTGTGTGTGTGTGTGTGTGTGTGTGTGTGTGTGTGTGTGTGTGTGTGGTGTATGTTTTACTTGGATGGGAGGTTACAAGAGCAAAAGATAGATATCAGGGGACAAGGAGTTGAAAGGGACTGGTGTACATGATATGAAACTCACAACTTAAAAAACTCACAACTTAAAAAAGTTTAAAAAGAGGAGGCAGAGGAAGAAGAGAGAAGAGGAGGTGGAGGAGGTGGAGAAGGAGGTGGTGGAGGAGAAGGTAGAGGAGGAGGAGAAGAGGAGGAGATAGAGAAGGAAGAGAGGAAGGAGGACAGGAGAAGAAGGAGGAAGAGGAAGGGTGGGGAGGAGGATGTGGAGGAGACTTTCTTTCTCGTTGTAGAAGCCTTCACTCATTTTAGAAGAAGGACACCCCAAGGGTGAAAATTGAGATTCATTGTCTCTACCAACTCAAAGACAGACTTCCTGTCTCCAAACAACAACAACAACAACAACAACAACCACTACCACCACCACAACTAGACATTGGCAGTATCTCCTCATCTTTATGTCTTTCTCTCTTGCCCTATGTTCTTGTTACCATGTCTCATGGTGTCAGTTGTCAAAGGGAGTATCCAAGGAATATCTGTGCTACTGAACATTTGTGGGTAACTTATACCCCCAAAACTTATACCTTGGAATAGCATTATTCACTTTGGTGCTATTGGCAAGCATGATGACAAAATTCACACTTACCAACACCTGAAGAAAAGTATTTGTGTATTTGTCTTCCTTTTGGTCAGGTTTTATGGTGGTCCATAAAGATCATGTAAGTGGCCTTTGAATGGTTTCAGTAGCCACTGTAACTAAGGTGACTTGATAACAATGCAGTGACTGGGCTCTTTCACCAGAGTGTCTGATGCATTAGATCAGAAGTGAGGCCCAAACAGTTGTACTTGTAACAGATATCTATGTGATGCTGGTGTTTAGAGTCTGAGACCATGTGAATGGCTTCATAGTCCAAGCTACTGTGTAAACTGTTTTGCACAGGTTGCAATGCTGACTAAGTTGATGTAATGAACTAATAAATGCAAAATGAGGACAAAATAAAATTCAATCTGCCTTGCTAAAATTTCCCTCTAATTAACATCTGCTGTCTCTTGGGTTTCTTGAATACACACACACACACACACACACACACACACACACACACACACTATTTCTGTTTATATCTGTAACCATCCAAATGAACTCCATGTCAAAAATTAATCAATTGCCAAACATTTTGTTTATGATGACAAAAGATTTTCCTTTTTGCTCTACTTTTAGAGCTGCTGTGTTTTATCTTTAGTGGTGGCCTGGCCAGGTGTTGTTTTTCCTCTCACATCTGTCAGTTTCAGTGGTTGGGGCTTTTCTGATCACTGCTCACCTTACCTATTTCAGAACCATGATGTTCTAGGGACTGAGTGTTACCTTGTGTTCAGAATCCCATGCAACGCAGGCTACAGTTCTTCAATTCTTAGGTAGGAATCTGTGACTTCTGGTATGAGTCTAAGTCAAGGGAAAGTGGGGTACACTCCACAGGTTCTTGGCTTACTTCAGGGATCTAATCTAAGACTCTTATCAACTCTTGGACTGGAGATTTCCTAATCTTACCTCAAGGGACCACTCTGGAAGGTAGAATTAGGTAGGACAGGAAGACCAAAGAAATCTCTTGGACTCTTGTTATTGGAAATGAAATTTCCAGGCAGTGGTGGCAAATGCTTTTAATCCCAGTACTTGGGAGGCAGAGGCAGGCAGATTTCTGAGTTCGAGACCAGCCTGGTCTACCGAGTGAGTTCCAGGACAGCTAGGGCTACACAGAGAAACCCTGTCTCAAAAAACTGAAAAAAAAATCACACTGAAGGAGGAGAAAATGAAATGATGCAAAGCATTAAATAACTTTTTCTAGATGATCATAATTTCAGAGGGGATAGAAAGTAGGGACTTGAAATGGCAACTTTTTTTTTTCCATTGTGACAGTACAGAAGAAAAAGCAGTGCCCTTTTTGGCTATAAAAAGAGCTGGTATAAGGCTAAGGGAGGAGTTTGCTATGGGCCTTGGCTGGACTAATGCCCACTGGAAACAAGCAGGCACGTACAGCTGAGGCTAAGAAATTAGTCAGACCAATAGAGACAGGATTATGGTTACAGAAATTGACTAAGGAAGAGAGGTAAAGGCAGGGAGGGTTATGTATACCTAAGAATTCTCAGGCCTTCTTTGGGATAGAATTGAAATGGGTGTACAAATGTGACTCTGCTTGTGGAGTGGGGAGCAGTTGTGTGTTTGTGTGTGTGTGTGTGTGTGTGTGTGTGTGTGTACTAGAGGCTTACATCAGAGAAAGAAGTAAACAAGTAAAGCCTGATGATGAACTGGCCATCAGATAAAGGACAGAAAGCATAGTTAATTTTTAATTTCAGGGGCACAGAGAGTATTCAGAATAAACTGTCACTTCAAAACTACTCATCTAAAATGTAACTGTATGTCTTGTATTTTCATTTTGCTAAATTTGCCCATCATTAATTCAGGAGTCAAAAATTCGTGAAGACAGGTGAGTGGTGCTCTTCGGGCTTCTACTTAGGAGTGGGGTTTGTTCTTGCTTCTTGAGAGCAACAGAAGAAGGAAGGACAGGAGGCCCTAGTAGTCAAGATGATGGCCTCAAGCAGACACTGGAGGTATGGGTGTTTCCTAGCTAGCCAACAAGCGTGAGCCAATCAGAGCAGGAGTGAGGGGACTAATGACTGACTATTCCCAGCTACTTAGATTCAAGCCCTTTCTATTTGCTGCTGTGTTCATCCTTTCTAAACTAGCACTGTGAAGAAGAATAGTGGCATTTCCCATCAGTTTCCTGGCACAACATACCATATTAGATGCTGTCTTGTCCCTGTGTTACTCACTTTTCTCCTCCTTATGAAAGAATACCCACTGAACAGCTCAAGGGGAAGAGAAAGCACTGTGACTTGCAGCTTGAAAGTATAAAGTAGTGGAGAAGGCATAGTAAAGTTCACAGTGGCAGAAGAGTGTCATCATATCTGGTATGTTCATATGATAGATCATATTATGGATCAGAAAACAGAGAGGGAAGGCCAGAAGTAGAGCTGACATATAAACCTACATTCCTTGGGCGGTAAGTTAATTTTATGTCCAAAGGTTTTACAACCTGCCCTAACAGTGTTATAAGCTGGCACTAACAGTTTTAAAATATAAACTTATGGGGACATTTTACAGAAAAATCATAACACATCCCTTCCCATATATACATATCCAAAGCCTGGACTCAGTGCCTCTGAGTTCCTTCTGTATTTGACTGTAATAATGCTGCATCTGTAAGAAACTATGAAAACTTTGGAATGGTTGACAGAGACTGAAGACCTTAGTTGGAGAAAGAAAAGCAAAAGATATTGAGATTCAAGGGATCAGGCCTGCCACTCTAAAAGATCAAACTTCATGTTGTTTATAGCGTAGAGGAAGCCAGTGCACAGGAAGCATGAAGATGTAAAAAACAGAGACAGAGACCCTTGTGGGTAAAAGGACAGTGATGAACTATGGCAGCTCCCAGTTCCTGCTGTCCAGACAGCTGGCCTGGCCGAGCCATTCTGTTATAATTCATTTTAATTTTGTTTTATCTTGAGTATCTTCTTATTTCTCTTCCCCTTCCCTGATAGTCCTAACATAATCTCTCTTTCTGATGTATCCCATGGAGTCTCTTTCTATCATGGCTGCTGTTGATTGTCCTGAGTTTCATCTTGGGTAGTCTATAGAAATAACAGAAAGTCTACAGAAATAGCAGAGATATACCCAGGGGCATAGAAGGTGAAGGAAATGCATGCTGAGGTCAAATGGTAAGGAAGCAACTGAGACTGAAGTTTCTCATATATAAGAAAGAACAGACTCTCCCAACCCTACAGCAAAGGTACAGAGCTGCAGAGAAAAACATGGTTGGTTTGGGCTTTGTGCTCAGGGGCCTGGAACCTCAGGAGAAGTGTCAACATATGAATCCGAACATAGAATGGTTGTCACTGGCTTCCCGTGGAAGCTACAAAACACCTGATTTACAGCTAGTATCATAGCAGACACAGAATGGAGTAAAGACACCAGGCCAATTGGTTCCTGCCATGTGGAAATTAAAGCCTACAGGAGAA